AAAGAGAGAAACAAGGAAAAGAAAACAAGAAGGAAGAAAGAAAAGTAAGTTTCCCAGGGTTCTACAGAAGACTTGTCCTAAGCACTTAGCACTTCACACTGGGATACTAAAGGGCGGTAAGTTTAAAGAATCTATCAGTCACATCACTTGATAACGCAGATAACACACATAGGCCATTGAGGCCCACTTAATGCTAGAGATTGAGAGAACAATGCTACATTTAAGAACTAAGCAAGCCCAGAGAGGCTGCATTTCAATCCCAGTAGAAAAATCTAGGCTATGTCGGGCACAGCCAACAGTGGCACCCAGATAAAATAAGACAGTAGAGACTGCCAGCTTCTCCAGAAACAATTCAAATGGAGACCAAAGCTCTGCAGAGGCAAACTCCTCTCAGAGCACAGCCAGGCACAACGGTGGCTAGTTCTGAGTCATCAAGATGCTCTGAAGTGGCTGTTCTACAATTTTCTGTACCCAGAATCCAAATCTGACCAACAGACGCTCCAATAATTTTCCCAATTACAGTAGAACCTCTGTAAGGTGAACACCCAAGGGGCTCTAACTAACCGACCACCATAAGGATCTAGGTCTACTGTGCTGATAGGCACATGTGGTACATGTCTGGTCTATGAAAATGAGGTCGACTTAAGGAGGTTAAGGTAGGGAGCCACTGCATATTCAAACAAGTCTGTATATTTAAACAGCTTTGGAGGTTTGACCGTGTATTTAAACAAGACTATTCCATCCCTGTTTTCTCAGCAGAATATCTCATTTTTTTTCATTTGCAGAAATGAAGATGGACTGGAGGCTCTCACTTAAACAAAATAAAACTTAAATTGGGGTGAATGAGATGCTAAAGCCCAAAGTGGGTTAAAAAAAAATCCTGCATTAAATCAGTAGAGAAATTAGCTTAATCTGCTTGTTTTTTAGAGACAGGGTCTCACTTTGTTGCCCTCGGTAGAGTGCTGTGACATCACAGCTCACAGCAACCTCCAGCTCTTGGGCTTAGGCAATTCTCTTGCCTCAGCCTCCCCAGTAGCTGGCACTATAGGCGCCCGCCACAATGCCCAGCTATTTTTTGTTGCAGTTTGGTCAGGGAGGGTTTGAACCCACCACCCTCAGTATATGGGCCGGCACCCTACTCACTGAGCCACAGGCGCCGCCCTAATCTGCTTTATAATGGCACCCCAACATTAAGGACAGTTACTGAATACACCCATAAATACCTGGTACACTCCTTAAGCGACAGAGATAACAAGACCTCAACTTTCTGATTCATTGAGCCCAACATAGAATGGCACAAGGCAGAATTGTGAGGAAGAGGCACTGGGGACCTACAAAGAGCAAATTTGAAGGGGGCAGTAGGGATGGATTTGAGCCCTCAAGGAAAGGCAAAATTGTCCCATGCAAAGCTGGGAGGGGGGCACTCTGGGCAGGAGACAACCTGAATGGGAGCAAAGTCCCAAAGGAGGGACTCTCCACGGTGTACTGGACAACAGCAATTAGGGCAGTTTGGCTGCATTGGGGGGTTAATGAAAGAAGCCTTGAGAGAGAATCAAAGTGAACCAGATTCTAAGAACCATAAAATTTGGGCTTAGTGAAGACTTTTTTCTGTAGACCCTAGAAGGCTTCCAAGCAGGTAAGTGACAGAAACAGCAAGTTTTAGGAATTAACAGGGAGATTTAGCCCTTGGGTTAATTTATCTCAACTGTGGATCCTTTAGTCAAAACCAGACCAATCAGAATCTTGAAGTAAGTGTCCCAAATTATACCCCGAGGCAATTTTCCCTACACCTAGGCCCAGGCAATGCAATCCAAATATTTTTCTTGACTGAAAACACAGAACTGACTCCACACAAGACAGATCACAGTAACTGACTCCAGAACAGGAACAAACAAATAAGGAAAACAATCACTCTCGCCCCTGTGACTATGGCAAATGTGGTTCCCCATTTTTGGAACCCATTTGCATGAACTACACACCCAAGGCAGAGGTTTTGAAAAGAGCTTTTAATCTGGCTAAACAAAATGAGCACTGATAACATTTTTGTAATTAGGCTTTGCTAAATACGCTTTCACTTGGCAGTCAGTACTTGATGATACATTGATTTCACCTACTTTAGAGCATATTAAGAGGATTTCACTTCCATAACTACTAGTACTTATTAGCTGGCATCTGACCAGGTGTCCTGGTCTGAAGCCTCATGACTTCGTGACATGATGGTCTAAGGCAGAAGAAATATCTCTATCCGTTTTTGAGTTGTGGCTATTTGAGAAAGCATGGATTCTGGAAATGACACAGGGACCAAAAGAAGTTTTTTCGTAGAAGGAAAACAGGGAATAACATTTATAAGCAGGCTCGCAATCTAGGAATGGTATAGTAAATATGACACAATTAAAAAAAAAAAAAAACCTGACTCATGGCTGCAGAATGGAGAAAGATCTAGAGGTGTTAAGAGGGTCTCTAAAACTGACTTTCTGAAACAGAAAGCATGCAAGAGGTTCAGGGACCGTTCCCCATTAACCAGAAAAGTGGGGGGAAACAAGGACGCAGAAGGGAGTAAAGCGTTAGACTAAGTTACAAATAGGCCCAATGAATGAGCCTTAGGGGAGGTGATAAAATTCTCAACACGCACAACCGTATCTATAACTAGGGAATGATCCGAGGTCCCACAGCCGGTAGTAATCAACCCCAACTAATACCAGAAGTCTTCCCGTTTGACCTCAACAACCTCACTCTTGGATGAAAAGAGAAAGGATCTTGGTTTTTCACCTCAGTCAAACCTCCCCCCCCCCCCGCAACACACACACACAGCCCTCCCTGCGCGCATCTTGGGGGCTCTCAGCACAGCTCTTCGGAGTGCCAAGCACAAAACACCAGGCCTGTCATCGTTTTAATAAAATGTCCTCTTCTAGTCCCCAGTGGAACTCAGCATGCAGAGGGCTGCCTTTAGCCTCTCCCTTGCACGCTCCGTCAGGGGACGAGTGTCCACACAGACTCAAGGACCAGCCACCCGCTCCCCGTGCCACACACTTCCTGTCCCTTCCATCACCTCCACACCACGATTTTGGTTTCCCATTCAGCTGACAACTGTTACCAGGAGTCCAGTCCCTTGAGGAAAGGCGGGAGAGTGGCTCTGGACCCTCTCAGCTTCCTCGCTTAGCGTCTGAGAAGGACCCACCGCAGAGGGAAGCCAGCGAGCCCCGGACAATGAGCGAGACCCCACGTGCGGACCCCGGCCGGCCACCGACCAGCGAACGAAGTGCGCGCCGGCGCGGGGAGGCGGGAGGCGGCGCCGGGGACCCCGGGGCGCTGGGCGCGCTCCCTCGCCCTGACATTTCCACCCTGCCAAGCTCCGGAGCTCGGGCTCCCAGTGCGAGACTCCGTTCCCAACCCCAACTACACTCTGAGCCACTCAGGAGTCCCCAAACCCTGGGTGACTGCCCTAACGGCGTTCCCGGGAGCGGGCTGCGGAGCTGAGCCCCAGTCAGATGCCCCGGAGGGCAGCGCGCACCCCCGCGGCCGGCGCCCACCGTCCGGCCCCGCGCTACCGGGCAGGGCCGCTCCCCCGCGAACTTTGCGGCGCGGGTCGGGCGGGGGGAGGCGAGCACTCACCGACCCCGTACTTCTGCCTCTTGGTCGGGATCCAGCGGGCCATGGCGGCGACCTCGCCCCGCGGCGGCTGCGGCGGCT